TGTGCGGCAGCTGACTGTGCTCCCCACCTACAGAGATAAAGTTTATTTCATTATTTCAGAATCAAACCCCATATGTACAATTGAATCTTGGAAAATTTATATTTTATAGTTTTCAAGTACGACAACTTATGCTTGGAGAGAACACTTAATTATTCAAATTTTATGTATTATGATTTTATATTTCTTTTTCTTTACTTATTTCTGTGACCACTCCAATCTAATTTATTATGTATTTATTTGTATCTGTACATAAGGCCAATGGTCACAGTACGAGATAAAGATATTATTATTATATATACGTTGGATACCGACCACCAATATATACAACTATGTTGCATGTACCGAACGGGCGGATATCAGAATTCATCAACACATAATAACTATGCATGGAATTTATGACAAAACTTTAAAAAAAAAATCCCCTCAAATAATCCAGCCCTTTGTCACAATAGTCAGGAGAACGCGGGTGAATATATTAATCAAAAATAAATTGGGCTGCGTACAACCCTGTACACTTGATCTATAACTGAACCACGCTTCAGTGATGTAAACAAATGTAAAATTCGTCATTAGCAGTTGTCATTAGTTGTTGTCGTTCAATATAAATATTGCTTTATTTTCGAGATAATCTGAATTAGGAATTACGAAACAACAAGAATTAATTTGAATGACATTCCTTACACCAATTGGACGTCACAAAATCGCTTCGTCACTAGAGCTTATTAAACCTATTAAAAAGTGTATTTTATGAATAAACTCTCGTATTTTAATACTATGCTATTACTAGACGAAATTTGTGTTCCCTAATTGAAGCGTTAATGAGTGTGCGAGGTGTCAATTTTGAAACCAGCAATTCATGACATCTGAGTTCATTTGCTTCTAATTTTTACAAGGTAAATTTGCAATTTTGACTTCAGTAAGTTATTAAACACCACATAGAGCCACGAACAATGCCATTGATGAATAGTTTGGAAACCCTGAACATCACTTTAAAAAACAGAAACATAATTTCATAGAAATTCTGCAATGGTGGTTGTGAAATCGACCATGATAACAATTTAGTTTCACAAGACAAATGATTGCACTATGACGCCTTCTGTGGGGGGAATTGAGAATAAGGTTTCACACTTATCCCAATCCTAACGAGCGTAAAGTTCAAGGCGCGTAAAACAAGGGAATGTCGACCAAAGGAACAGGAAACAAATAAACGATATGAAGAAACTACTTTTATTACTTGTCACTGGAAAAGGTTACATTTACTCGCGCGCTAGAACAAGTATCCAGGCTCTTTATAGCCTTGGTAGGATCAGCCTCCGTAACAACTTTTAGCGGGCTTGGTGCTGATTGGTTCATAGTGCTATGAGCTATGATTGGCTAATAAATGAATAGCATTTGAAATGGCGTCTGCTATCGTTATTTGTGCTACTTCTCTTCGAGTTAAACATGTACTAAAGACAATTGAATTGAATAACAATATAAGAAAGCACTGAAACACAATTGAATAATATTGAATCAATAATGAAAACGAATATCATAGTAATAATTAGGAAATAATAGTGGATTATTCTCCTTCTCATAGACACCTTCAATCATCTGTACTGCATATAATCACATTACAGTTCATAAACGTGATCGCTAAACAGACAGCATATGGTAACATTCTACCATCATCACTACCTACCAATTCTGAAGTATAGGGTTCCACGCCTATAACGTGCCCCTAAGTATAGATACAAGTGAAGCCTTCAGACTCCTTCTAACCCAGTGATAGTTACAGTTTATTCGACGGGATCGTAAATAACCACTTGGCATTTTGACAATACAAGGTGCATCCTCCAAAATTTAGATCATTCTCCACAACACACCCTCTATGTCCATTATTCAATAAAGTACAATAAACCGGGTATTGATAAGTGTTCTTTATAATTGAATGGGGTGATATGTTTTACAAGGATGGAAATGGAAGAAATGAAAAAAAGGAGCAGAATGTTGAGTCGGTACGAAGCTACCAACAAGATTGTACCCGATTGGCTATCTAATCCCAACACTCAGACGAATCACAAAGCAGTTTGTTTGTTGATCGGTCTTTATGACGCATCACATTCTTTCTTGCATAATTATAAGCTTTGAATCAACAGAAAATATTAGACAAACCCACTATCAGTGAACCATGGTTGTCAGATAAGATCACATCTACTGATGAGTCCAAATCAATCATCATTTAATACTCACACATGACATTTATGGTAGAATAACATTAGAATAACATATTATCACCACTGGGTAAAATGCCATTGTAGCTTGACAAAAAGACCAATATATATATATTGCTGTCTTGTGCATTGTTTCGGCTGTGTTCTAGCCCGAAACTGCAAATATATTAAACTCACAATAAACTGGGCAACACCACACCAAACTCTATATATTTGATTCGCTTGGAAATTCAATTTTGTCTCTTCTGGTACATATGTATATGGTGATTGTTTCTTGCACAAATTGATAATAGGGCACTCAAGCCCAATGACCAGAATACATCACAATGTTACCTGAATATAGCAACAACGCAATTCTTGAAAATGTAAGTTGACCTCATGTTAAAGCGCTATTAAAGCGCTTTCGATATTAATAGATTCACAATTTGTTGCTAAGAACGATATATGAACGTTGATTTGTTATTTCTTCCAAATTATGATATCTTCGTCAATATAATCAAATAATACGTCGTCGCCTTTTTCGTAACAACATTGCTCCCTGAAAAATTTCAAACATTTCTCAACCTCGTCTGGTGGGCGCGAATGCCGAACATCCACTATTTGGTTCATGAAATCCAAAATGTTATTGCCATATATTGAATCTTTGTCAAAACACCTGGTAACATTAACAGTGGTGGCGCCGGTTATCACGTCGATTTTAGTAGCAGGCATATGGAGTTGTATTAGTCGTTTGATCTCTTTCCCTGGAATGAAATACAATGGAATATCTAGCTGCTCACTGTGTTCAAAGTACACTTCTAATCCGCCATCTATGTGGAACAATAAGAATTATTGGAATAAGTAAAATGAGTGAATGATAAAATTAAAAATCCTTTGACATTTATTTTGGTCAATGAAACAATATTCATAAATATTTTGGCAAATACATTACAAATAATGTTTGCGTATTTTTTTTATTTTGCAAACAATTATCGACCCAAATATTTAACAATAAAACAATATTAACGAACGTATATAATGCCAATAACACATTTATCTGTATTTTGTTATACATTGAAGTGACTGAACTATATATTTATGTTCCACTTAATATCGTTATCTCCGCGGAAAAGTAATAGATTTTGTGATACTACAATGATTATTATTCAAACAGTTGAACTGCTGTAATACTATAATTCTGCCAATGGTTAGTATCTAGGCACATCTGTCACATCGATAAAGTAGAAATACATTCAGAATTACACTAACCTGTCTCAATTCTTATGAAAAGCATACCATTCTGTGGAAGCATATCATATAAACAACACAGTGTATTCACAACATCATGGAAATGGTAAGCAGAATGACAGGCAAGTATGACGTCATATTTATCAGATGTACCACCTCCTTCAAGATACTCATTTATCCCTTGTACATGGAAACTAAATTTTACTCCACTCCACCTTTCTTGATTGGATTCGATTAGCCTCTTGAAATCGTCTAATGGACCAGTTGCTGGTTCTACCACGGTATAATGTATTGCAGTATATTTGTCCACCAATGCATTAATGAAGTGTTGATCGGCATCACCTAGAGGTCAAAATACATTTACGTCATTGCACAACTCTTCTGGAATATACAATTCGACCCTATAGCAAATGTAACGGCCGCTTATATCGAGGGTAGTCTTTACATCCCGGAAGAGCCCGACTAGAA